CGAGATAAAATACAGCCATAATACGCCCGTCAGAATATTGTGTAACCTGAATTCTTCCATCCCCCCCGCGGTGTAATACATTCTCACAAGTTATTATTTTCCTCACGCCGGCGTACGTTGCAACGTGACTACGGTTTCGCACCCGACATAATAATTACTCGCCGCGTTTGGCGCCTCTAATGGATATTCCGACGATCACAACGAGGACGCACCCTCGGTGGTCCAAGACGCGCGCATGTGTAAGCGCACGTAAAATAACGCGGGCGAGTGTCGCGAAAGCGGCACATAAATGATCCACCGAGCCGAGAGAAGCAAACTGCAGCGGCACAAAATACGCGAGGGTGGCGTGTTGAAGTGCGATGAAAATATTCGCATTCAAATCAGACGGATGCGCGACGAAAATGCGAGACTTGAAGGTACCTACGCCCATCTCTCGTTAACGACCTTTTTTTTTTATATTTTTTCTCCTTTTTTCACATGCTAGTTCTCGCGGCCTTATTTATTCTCCGTGAAATTAATTAATGCCGATGTACTTCCTGCCCTCATAAGTTGCTTGTAGATTAAATTATCGCAGAATTAATTTGTCCAAGGCATATATTTATCCAAGGCAAGAACCTAATGTGTCTCAAGTACCCTAATGCATTTGATGGCTTCCGCTTTGTTCTGCGCTTAGATATCATAATCTTTGTATTTGTTAATGCAGATACTTTCGTAAACTAAAAAGTGTCTGTACGAGGAACATCGTGTTCTAAAGTACATGACAAATATTTAGAAACACGTAAAACTTGGATAAAATAAAATGTGTTTTCTCTTTCTATTAATTTCAAAATAACTCGCCGTATGTATTGCTCCCTTTCTCTCTTTTACAAAGATATCAGATAATATTTATGTTAAAGAAACAGAAAATCTCTCTCTCTCGCTGTCTCAACGAGCATAACCGCGAACCACGAGAGTGTTATACCGGTCGTGCGAGTATTACGTCACACCTAGTTCGTGGAGACTGCGCAAAACGGATGGACACGCGATGTCATCCTCCAGAAAATTTACGCGTTTACACCCATGTTCCCGTACCACTCCTGGATTACATTCAGCGCCTCTGCTCCGGTTGCCATAATTCAATGCTCGACCGGGAGGCTGGGATGCCCGTGACAGGCCACGGGTTATTCGCAAATGTAGGGTCAGCAGAGCGGGCCGATAGTGTTAGC